CACCCCTCCGCCGGGTGCAGGGGCAGCGGGTGGAGAGCGAGAAGACTGCCTCGGTTTTAACCGTGACACTGGCCATGTGAGGGCAAGCAGCACCCTTGTGTGTCCCCTCCCCTACTAGTAGTTAAAGCGATCGTAATAACGATTCTGTACAACTCTAGAGGCGGTTTATGCCTGTTTCTCAATTTAGCCTTACAACCTGCCTCTGAGGGAGGAATTAGTGTTCCCATTTAATAGGCGCACCGACTTAGGCCTAAGGAAAAGAGATTGCCCCAAGTCACACTCCCCTCTGATCAGAGAACAGAAAAAAAATCAGCTGGAAACTCTCAGGATCACTTCCCGCAGGTGGCGGGGGGACTTCAGGAGTTCTGTGGACCCCTGGAAGTAGGCACAGAATCGGGCATTCTGTGCTCGGGGGCATTTTGTGGGTAGAGGGATCCTACTTCTCACGAGAGTCTTAAAGTGGGAGGAAATGGGGGGGAACCAGATCACTCTTGAGGGTGGGGACAGGCAGTGGCCTGCTCAGGAGCAGTAAATTAGTGGAAGACTCAGGAATCAAATGCAGTCCAAAGGGTTAATAGTCACTCAATTTCCTGTGTTGTGAAGACCAGCTTGGGAAAATCAATGCACCCAAGGGATGAACCCAGAAATGAAACTTTGTTCTTTCCTGATAAAAAGATTTCCCCAGGGTGCTTACCAGCATTCCTCCTCCCCTCCCCACTTCACTGCCCTAAATACACAATGAGTGGGTGTGCCTGATCAAACAGATCATAGATCAATACCATGTATGGAGATTGAAGTCGGGGCTACTCTAGGCATTGGGCATTTTGTCTGCTTAACTCATATAATCTCCCAAGTATGATTAGTCTCATTTTACCAAAAAGAGAACTAAGGCAGGTAAAGCAGATTGCCCAGGGTCACACGGCCAGTAAGTGGTGGGGTAGGCCTTCTTTCTGCCTTCCAGACACACTGTACTATTTCCCTCCTGAAATAACCCCAAGCTTGGCAAGGATCCTGTTTGCAGCTCTCCCAGGCCCAGAGTGTCAGGAATGTGACCCTGTGCAACAGCAACCTCTCAGGGTCAAGGCACTGGGGGCTGGGCCAGAGGTTGAACAAATAGAGCAGCAGGAAAGGCAGCTCCTCTTCTCACGTTCCCTCCCTTTCTCTCCCACCTCTCCCTCCCTTTCTCAGGCATCAGAGCAGAGAGCACAGAACCCAGTAAGCCAGGCTCACGGCTAGAGGCCCTGCCATGGCACCCCTTAGGCCCCTTCTAATGCTGGCCCTGCTGGCCTGGGCTGTTCTGGCTGACCAAGGTGCAGGAGGGTGTTGGTGGCCAGTTGGGCTAATGTAGGGTGGGCAAGAGTGGGCCGGTCTTGGCTGTGCCAACTGAAACTCCCTCCCCACAGAGTCATGCAAGGATCGCTGCACCGAGGGCTTCAACCCGGAAAAGAAGTGTCAGTGTGATGAGCTCTGCTCTTACTACCAGAGCTGCTGTTACGACTTCGTGGCTGAGTGCAAGCCCCAAGGTGCGTTCAGAATGGCTGGGTGGGTCTGGGGTCCCCTCTGCAGCTGGAGACTCACACCACCCACTCTGCCTGCAGTGACTCGCGGGGATGTGTTCACTATGGCAGAAGATGAGTACGGGGTTGATGGCTTCGATTCGGAGACAGAAAATCCCAGTGTCCACACACAGACAGAGAGCACCCTCATTAACAGTAACCCACAGCCCGCTGAAAGCATTCCTGAGCAGGGACTTGTTCTGAATCCTGAGGAAGAGGTCCCAGGACCAGAACAGGAGACCCCAGGGCCTGACATGGAGACCCGAAGGCCTGAGAGCACCCATCAAGAAATCTTCGAATCCTCAGCAGAGGAGCTGTGCAGTGGGAAGCCCTTTGATGCCTTCACTGACCTCAAGAATGGTTCCCTCTTTGCCTTCCGAGGTGACTCCAGGGGCAGGTCTCTGGGGCGGGGGTCTGCCCCAGGAACATTCCCTCCCTCACACAGCGGCCTGACGTGGAGACCCTAAGGCCTGAGAGCACCCATCAAGAAATCTTCGAATCCTCAGCAGAGGAGCTGTGCAGTGGGAAGCCCTTTGATGCCTTCACTGACCTCAAGAATGGTTCCCTCTTTGCCTTCCGAGGTGACTCCAGGGGCAGGTCTCTGGGGCGGGGGTCTGCCCCAGGAACATTCCCTCCCTCACACAGCCTCCTCCACTCTAGGGAAGTACTGCTATGAGCTGGATGAACATGCAGTGAGGCCTGGGTACCCCAAGCTCATCCAAGATGTCTGGGGTATCGAGGGCCCCATTGATGCTGCCTTCACCCGCATCAACTGTCAGGGGAAGACCTACCTCTTCAAGGTGCCAAGCCCGGGGCTGTGGGTCAGGGTCAAGGGTATCCAGGCAGGAGTTGAGAGCTGTTGTGCCGACGACCAGGGTGGGCAAGAAGGCTGAAGCCCAGCCTTTGGTGTCTGGCTGAAGCTCTGGGAGGTCAAGGAAGCCCAAGGTTCCAGGTCCTGGGTGACAACTCTAGAACTGAGACTGCTGCCTTGGATGGGGGATTCTGCCTCCGTGCCCAGCCAGCCACCTCCTCACCTCCCTCCTCCTTCCCTACCCCCTTAGGGAAGTCAGTACTGGCGCTTCGAGGATGGTGTCCTGGACCCCGATTACCCCCGCAGCATCTCTGAAGGCTTCACGGGCGTTCCAGACAATGTGGATGCAGCCTTCGCCCTCCCCGCTCACAACTACAATGGACGGGAGCGGGTCTACTTCTTCAAGGGTACTCAGGGGGTAGAGGGGAGAATGAGCAGGCAGTGGAGCAGTCTCAGTTTGGGGGGACTGGCCTAGATGATGCCTATGTCCATCCTCCCTCCACCCTGCCCCGGCCTGGAGCTCCTAACAGCCTCTGGGCTTTCCAGCCTTGCTCACACCCACCCCTCCCCAGGGCAACAGTACTGGGAGTACGAGTTCCAGCAGCAGCCCAGTCGGGAGGAGTGTGAAGATAGCTCCCTGTCAACCGTGTTTGAACATTTTGCCATGATGCAGCGGTCCGGCTGGGAGGATATCTTTGAGCTTCTTTTCTGGAACAGACCCTCTGGTATGGAGGGAGGGCAGGTCTTGTTTCCCCTTCAAGAGGGCTGGGATCCCGGAGACAGAGGGAGGGCTGGGCTGGCCAGAGGGGGAAGTGATTGTAGAGCTATCCATCAAAAGCTGTTTGCTCAGGCCAGACTTTGCATCTGTTTTGACCTTTGGGGGGAAGGCTTGCCTCCACCTGGACCCCACACCTTGGACTTTGCCTAGCATGCCCAAGGGCACAGCCAGCAAAAGGAGGGGCTGTGGCTGAGGTAAATGGGGAGGGACATGGTGGAGGGAGGCCAGGGGAAAGGGCATTAAACAGAGTCAGAAAGCCAGGGTGCTGGCCTCTGCCGCTAGCTTGCTGTGTCCTTGGGCACCTGATGAACTACCTGT